AGGGAACCATGCACACACAGAACCACGTACACGGGGAACCATGCACACGGGATCCACGTACACGGGGAACCATGCACACGGGGAACCATGCACACGGGGAACCACATACACGGGGAACCATGCACACACAGAACCACGTACACGGGGAACCATGCACACGGGGAACCACGCACACGGGGATCCACGTACACGGGGAACCACGCACACGGGGAACCATGCACACGGGGAACCACATACACGGGGAACCATGCACACACAGAACCACGTACACGGGGAACCATGCACACGGGATCCACGTACACGGGGAACCATGCACACGGGGAACCATGCACACGGGGAACCACGCACACGGGGAACCATGCACACACAGAACCACGTACACGGGGAACCATGCACACGGGATCCACGTACACGGGGAACCATGCACACGGGGAACCATGCACACGGGGAACCACGCACACGGGGATCCACGTACACGGGGAACCACGCACACGGGGATCCACGTACACGGGGAACCACGCACATGGGGATCCACATACACGGGGAACCATGCACACACAGAACCACGTACACGGGGAACCATGCACACGGGATCCACGTACACGGGGAACCATGCACACGGGGAACCACGCACACGGGGAACCACGCACACGGGGATCCACGTACACGGGGAACCACGCACACGGGGATCCACATACACGGGGAACCATGCACACACAGAACCACGTACACGGGGAACCATGCACACGGGATCCACGTACACGGGGAACCATGCACACGGGGAACCACGCACACGGGGATCCACGTACACGGGGAACCACGCACACGGGGATCCACGTACACGGGGAACCACGCACACGGGGATCCACGTACACGGGGAACCACGCACACGGGGATCCACATACACGGGGAACCATGCACACACAGAACCACGTACACGGGGAACCATGCACACGGGATCCACGTACACGGGGAACCATGCACACGGGGAACCATGCACACGGGGAACCACGCACACGGGGATCCACGTACACGGGGAACCACGCACACGGGGATCCACATACACGGGGAACCATGCACACACAGAACCACGTACACGGGGAACCATGCACACGGGATCCACGTACACGGGGAACCATGCACACGGGGAACCACGCACACGGGGATCCACGTACACGGGGAACCACGCACACGGGGATCCACGTACACGGGGAACCATGCACACACGGAACCATGGGGACAGTGCATGCACAGACACCGTCTACGGAGGCCACAGCCGCAGGCGCACACGCGGACACACACACAGACACGCAATCCTGCTGGGCGCGGTGGCGCACGCCTGTCATCCCAGCATCTCTCGGGAGGCTGAGGCAGGAGCATCTCCCTGAGTTCCAGGCCGGGCCAGCTCAGGGGTGTGCAGACAAGCTCTCGTCTCCTCTCCGTCCCTCTCTGTCTCCATCTCTCTCTGGGTCCCTCGCACACCAGAGCCGCTTTGCAATGGACCTCAGCCCCAGCCACCTGCCCTGTCCACGCCGGCCCCGGCCCAGAGCGAGGGCAGCAGCCCCCACCGTCCCGTCACCCAGGACTGATTTGTCCCCGTCGTGGGGTCCTTATCTGACAGACCAGAGCGGAGACGGACAGCAGCCTCCAAACCCCGCCAGGAGGGGAGCTGGGGCCGGCCCCGCTCTGCGGAGGACAAAGCCTGCGGAGTTAAATCCCACACTCAGCCTCCCCTGCTCCCATTCAAGGCCTGAGGCACCAACACCCCCGTCTCCAGTCTGAAGCTCACCTCGCTACGGGGACCCGTGGACGCCCACATTTGTGGCAGCGCGACTCAGAGTAGCTGCACGTGGGACGCAGCATCCACGTCCATCAGCAGAAGAGTGAATAAAAAAATCGGTGGTTTACTCCCGCTGGAGTACTACTCTGTCATGAAGAAGGACCAGCTTGTCCCCAAGTGGCCTGCATTGGCCATGGGGTATTTCCTAGGTGATGTTCTGAGTCCTCCTGGGTGATGTGCTAAATCCCCTGGGTGATTTACTTAGTCCTCCCGGGTGATGTGCTGAGTACTCCTGGGTAATGTGTGGAATCCCCTGGGTGATGTACTGAGTACTCCTGGGTGATGTGCTGAGTTCTTCCAGATAATGTTCCTGTCTTCCTTAGTGATGCATGACAGTCCTCCCAGGCGATGAGGCAGCATCCTCTGCTTTCCCCTGGGTTCTGCTCACAATCTGTCTTGACCGCAAGCTGTCCATACGTCAGTGTTCACCTGCCGACCCTGGTGGGTCCTCAACCCCTCACAAGCAGCGCCCCGTGACTCAGCCTCTCCGCAGCATCTACAACACTCAGGGGTGACGCTGGGCTCTTTTTCCTAACACAGGAGGCTTTCAGAAGGTGAGATGCACCCCGCACAGAACCAGCCAGGTCTCCCGGGACCCAGGTCTCCCGGGACCCAGGACACCTGGCAGTACCCTACATCCAGCACCTCTACTGCAGAATGCTGCTACCAGCCGGAGGGGAGGCCCAGTCCTGGTCACCACCGCTCGCCCTCCACCACCAATAGAAGCAGAATCACTCAAGGCTCACTGGTGACAGCATCATACACACAGGTCCAGCCAACACACACCCGCCCACCCATCCACCCACCTTCCCAGCCTCCTGTCTGTCCATCCTCACCTCCCCTTGG